CTAAGACTCTCACTATTCATACTCACCTACTATAAAATCATGTTTTAAGTTCAAGCTTTAGGCAGTTTAACTTTGTCTGTACTCTCCCCAGACACAGAACCTCTATAAAGCATGAATTAAGCTGGTCAGAACCAGCTGGCATGGTTAAAAGGAAGTGAGCTGAATTTTGGAAGAGTCTTAGTAAACACAACAGACAAGTAAAGCAAATATCAATAAACATCTATTGCAATACTTGTACTTTTAGCAGAAGACAAATCCAGAAAGAATAAAACATATGAATAAATGTATTTTCAAAATTGCTGTGAAAAAATCCACATTAACTATGCCCCTGGGTTTTTCAAGAGAAATTTAATTTTTAAGCGACTTACCATTGATGTCATATCTATAAAAAACTTCCAGACAATCTTATAAATCATTCACACTCAATCTTTGCCCAAGATATTTATCCTATTTTGGTTTAGGCCATCACTGGCACCATGGAATTATCACTGTTTACCTAAAAAGCATCAACAGAATGGAAGAAAAAAGTGAACTACACTATTTAAAACAATGTGTCAAATTCTGCAGGGTTATTTTATGCTTGGAATCTAGAAGTTTAGTTTTAGTTTAGCACAAACCAGAATGCCAAACATTACCTCAACAAGAAGGAACAGTACCCAAATCAGTGTCTGATTCTCAAATGAAGATTTTCACAAAACAGAAAACAAGTCAGCACTCACAAGTGCAGCCAAGCAAGAAGGGTACACACAGGCACAGTACTCATTCCCCTATGAAATCCTCACTTAAAAAAACCCCAAAAACAAACAACTCCTTCTTCCCCCTGCCAAATACTGGTCCTGACACTCTTCAGTGTGTGTGTTTGCTCCCTTAGGAGAAGCCAAACTATTTGAAATTATTTGATAAAGTATCATTATAACCTACTCTACTGCCTATGTAACCAAGGAGTAGCTAAACAAAATCCACAAATCTGGAACCACAAAGAACTCTAACTCTTGAAAAACTCAACTATTCAAATACTTACATTAATGAAAGCTTCAACAGGCTCATTGGTTTACTATATTTACATTTCATTCCTAATGAGTTTTTAAGCACTGCATCAAAAGCAGTCAGAACTGTTCTTTAATAGAACAACAGTGTCTAGTTGGATCATACTTGAGTTTCTGCAATATGAATTCTAGATTTCAAATGTGTTAAAAAAAAAAACCCAAAAAAACCCAAAAAAAACCCCAAACCTGCTGAAATACCAAATACGTCTCCACATTTGATCTGCTCAGAATGTTTACTCATTGTCCATGCTACCAAGGAAATTAGCTCCACACAGAGACACTGGCTGAAAAGATGAATCTCAGATATTTTGATTGGCAGTAACTGTTGATTTGAGGACTCCTTCTTGCCATCAACCTTTTTTTTTTTCTGTTTTTGTCACTGTACTATTGCATGGCTCCATGTGCCAGTGGTGCACACAGTGCACCAAGCAAGGACATGGATCCAGTCTGAGGAAGGACAGCGAAAGCATTTCACTGCTCCCCGTGACACCAGAGAGCTGTGCTGGTCACACAGCCTGCTCCTTCCTGGGAGCAAGGCAGGAATCACAGTGGGATGGGTCAAGAGTGTGAGTCAGCTTTCACCACCACATAACAAGTGACAGCAAAGCTGCAAGATGTCACAGCCTCACAGGGAAATCCTTCTGTCTTGGCACTTTCCTCCTGCTTCAGCACAGCTGTCAAACCCAGCATTCCCAGAGCCTGGCAACCCATGGCAGGATGGGTGAAGCAAAGACAGCAGAACCTGAGCAAAGTTCTCTCAGGCAGAGTCAGGGACACCACAAGGCACTGATTCTGGGAATGGAATAGAATAGACAGACATGCAGATTCTTTCTGGAGACAAGATTGTTTTTAATTACATCATCTCTCCTGAGGAGAAGAACTTGCATCCCTCATTCTTCCCTAGTTCATCCCAGCTGGAGATATGTGTTTTTGTTAAACAGATGCACTGAATAAAAATCCAGAAGAACAGTTTTGTCCACGCAGAAGTGCATACACAGCAAACACATGGTTGCACTGCAGTGTTCACACAGACAGGGGTGATGTTCAGATACAGGATTTGATGTTACCTCTTCCATGCAATTCCTCTAGTGCTATGTATTGCATAAAACCTGCCCACAAGGACTTCTACATATTAAAAAGACCTCTTCAGTTTGTAAGCAAAAATAGAAGCACAACAAAATGTTTAATTATAGCAAAATGGGGCTCATGTGTGTGAATTTAAATGAGGACAAATCCTCTTACTGATTTTTATAGTGTATTTGGCCTCATAAGTAAAAAATATTAGATTTTAGAGTCTGAGCCTTTCAAATATTAACAAGGATACCAGATTGTAAAAGTGATCCTCAAGAAGCCTGTTTATACTTTATGAAGATGAGGAATTCCATGTATCCCCTTCTTCCATTTGGATAAAAATATTTAAGTTCTTTAAATTTTTTGGTACCTAAGAATGCCCAAATGCTGAAGCCATACTTAATTTAACAACATACCCATCAGCAGAATCATCAGTGATTCTAAGACATGGTAGAAGAGCTACTAGGAAAACAAGAGATCCTTGTCTTCTTTTTTCTCCTATGCAGATTTCCCCTATCAAAGATATTTATCATTTTTTAAGATAAAAGGGCAACAGAAATTGTTAAAGCTTAGTAGTTTGACTACTTGAATGATCTCTTGGTTTGGGAATTGATTTTACAGCACCCTGTAAGTCTATTCCTCCTTTGACAATGATCAAGTAGATAATAAGCAATAAATCACTGCTGCAACTGAGAACTGAACATTCAAGATAAGGTTTTAGATTATTTCTGTCATCCTTGTATGAGACATTGCTTTTCAAGCAAAGATATATTGTCACAGTTTATTTGCAATTAGAAAGATACAGATCCCATCAGTTAAAGCCTGTTTCCCAACAAACATGTAGGCCTTTATACAGTCAGAATCATAATTTCAATATAAAGAGATTTCTAGAAATACATACTGCTTCCATAGAAGTTCATGCTTACAATACTAAATACTACTGAAAAATAGGATTCCCTGCTTGCCAGTGTCACTTGGTCATTGAGGAAAGCTGCCTTTCCAAATCAGTTGAATTAAACACCCACCCCCCAGCTCCACCACTTATTAGAGCTGAGTGTAGGATGTTTATAGGAACTAAAAATTAGCTGAACTATACAAATTCAGCAGTGCCTTTCAGGATATCAAAAACTAAACCTGCACAGACAGACTCTGGTGTATGGATTTGCACCACTCATACAGTACATGCAACTCTTATTACCCTTCACTAACATTATGAAGTCAATCCATGCATTTTAACATTTAATCTTCTGAATATCAGGACACAGATTTATATCCATGTGCAGTCCCTGATGTTGTAGAGATCCAAAAGCAAAAATAAGATGTTTCTCTTTCACAGCCCCTGTAGAAGAGCATGCTATTTCACTTACATGCCAAGGCCCTTGATGTTCAGTACAGTTCTAGAAATCCCACTTTTTAAAACTGAAACTGAACTCTAAAATATGTATGGGAGATAAATGGAGTGGTACAAACTGGGAGTCCTCAAAAATGTCCACCTCAAATTCTATGCAAAAACAACCCTTTGTTTATATTTCCAGTTTTCTTAGCATGCTAAATTTTACAGCATTTGTTGCAACATTTGTGCATCTTATTTTTATGTTTTTAAAATAATTCCCATTTCTCCTCTGGAACTTTTTTAAGGCAATTCTACTATTTCAATTATTTTCATTCTTATTTTCACCTCCAGTTTCAGCTACTCAGAAATACAAGTCATTTTAAATAGCAGAAGAGCAAAACATTCCTCAGCCTCAGCATCTGAACTTGTATTTTACAGGTGTGTTTAATGTGATGTCCAGTCTTGAACAAACAAGACCTTAGCAGTGCAGGAAGATAAAATTCTGATGAACCCAATCAGTCAAGAGGCCGAGCCTCAGCCTTCTCCAAGTTCTTTTCTGAACAGGTGTTTGCAGCTTTATTGGGTAAAAGGAATCACAGATGCAGATTATTTCATGCATAGAGGAGGGGGAAAGCCCTCCAAATATTTTAACAGTTGTTCTTTGTATGAAGGAAAACATGAGCTCAAGCAATTCTGCTGAATGCAGCTGTGAGTTCCAAGCAAGGAAAGACAGCACTCAAGCAGGCCAGTGCAAAGGACAAAGGACTGCCTTTGGAGTCACCAAGCACTTTGGGGTATTGCTCACAAATGGTCACAAAAAGTGCCCAGAGGAATACCACAGGCAAACCAAACACTGGACTTCACAGGTACTCCAGCTACTGAGCAAGGGTCAGCCTTGGTATTCATCACAAGCTTTTATCAGCAAAGGCAGCTGTACTTGCACCTGCACACACAGCTCATGCCAGCCACACGTAGCTGTGTGGCCCCTGTGTCACTGGATCCCCAGCCTGATTTTCATCCAGGTATTTCCCTCTACTGCAGAACACCAGGAACTGATCAATGTCACACAACACTGGCTTCACACGAACAAGATGAGCTCATTTGCTTGCTGGGCATCAGGCTGATGTGCCAAATCTGCCTCTTCTGTTCCCAAATTTCACTGCTGTGTTTGTCAGCCTGTCCTGCCTCATTCTGCAACAGTTGCTTCAACTCCTCATCCCCACCAGAACTGCACAGCTGCCAGGCCAAATCCCCATCATCCCTTCCCAGACATCCCAGTACTGCAAAGCTTACCTGGGATCATGGCATAAATATACATTTGGACAACACTACAATATCCACCTTCTTCAGCTGCAAACAACAGCCACATTTGAGACACGTTAAGATGTTGGGACTTGGTATTTCATGACCAGAGAGAGCAGATCCTTTCACTTCAAACACTTGGCAAAAAAAAAAAAACAAACAAAAAAACCCAAAACAAAACAAAATAAAAAAACAAAACAAAACAACAACAAAAAAAACCCCACAAAAACTCAAGCAAAAATACAGTGTGGATTTTAAAATTTATTTAAAATTTATTTATTTATTGCAGTTACAAGCTACTTCAAATTATTTTCATGTGCTGACATTTGACAGCTCTGTTTGAGTACATGGATTAGACACCAGTACAATATGAAGGTATGCACAAGTTCAATTCCACAAGACTGGACTGACAAACTGCACATGAACTAGGCTTATTAAAAACCAAAAGCAGCACTTATGTGGCATGTGGAATGGCAAAGACAGCACTAACCAAAATGAACACTAGATTCATTATAATACATTTACTTTGATCTAAGAAGTTTGTTATCAGAAACAATTTCCTTTCTTCTAAGTCCAAATACTGTCTAGAACTAGGAAATGCTAAATGTTTACAGCAAAGAAAGCTTAGAAAACAACTACCAGCATTTTTTTAAGGCATCAAGCTTTGTAGCTTCTGCATCAAAGTCCCTTTTATAAATAGACAGCCATGATTTATCAAACCAAATAAGATAATTATTTTTAAAAAAGCTATTTAAACTGAGGTTATATTAGGTGTGCAAGTTGCTTTAAAAATCTTTGTAGAGGTGCTAGCAATGAATTAGATCACTAAGTAAGTTCACAACCTTCTATCACCACACGTTCCTGTGTCACCAGACAGGACACAGGGTAAGGAACAAAATGGTTACAGTAATGGGACCATCACAGAAAAATGGCTGTCCTTGGTTCACCTTTGGTCATTTACTGACAGCTTCAAAATTACCACCTTTCCAATGCTTATTAGTCCAGTTTTCCCAGGACTAAGAAATCCTCCAAGTTTTAATTCTGATAAGTTAAGGAGAAAATATTTTACTGTTTAAATGTATCTATATTTTTGGTCATAATCATCTTTTACAGGACCACTATAGTGAAGCTAAACAAATAAATACCTAGGTTTGGTATACTAACATTTAAATCCAACAAAATATTTCATTTAAGTGTTAGGGAATAAAAAAATAACGTTTGAGGGGGTAGGACAGAGAGCTAGATTATTGCAAGAATATTTTTTCTATTAGCAGCAGTTACTCTCATTGGCCATCCCTTTAAAAACAGAAGACTAGAGTGAAACCAAGAAGGAAAGAAATCCCAGGCCAGATCCAGGCAACAGCATGTGCAGATCCCACTGGAGAAAAGTGGAAAGCTGAAGCTTTTCTGCAGATACTGTTCCTGATGTCATGACTGTTTGAAGTTGTTCAGGAACTGAACCAGTGAAGACTTCTGAAGGAATACTTTCAAAAGCTGTTATTTCCAAGAACAGCAAACCATGGTGGGGGCAGCACAAACCACACCACAGACAAGGCCATACACTGTGGATTGGGAGAACAGCAAAAACAGACTGGGTGATATGTTTTTAACCTTTATTTTGGTCTTGGGTTATGCCCAGCTAACAATTAGGAGCACAACCTTCTCACAAGGAGACTTGGAATACAAAATTCCAGAGAAAACAACAAAAAGCAAGGCACAGCAGATATGAGGCCTGCTAAGTATTGGACAGCATTGATAATAATTTGTCCCCACAGCCCAAAGTAAGAGAAGCTGCTAGAACAGACCATTGATGAAGCAATGAAGGGTTGATGGGTAACTGCATGGTTCACCAGCACTTGTCATTCCAAGGAAGCCTAATCCTGTAATTTATAACACAAAGCAGCAGAGAACTCAGCTTTGAGCAAAGCATGCACCAGCTTTGGATCTCCATTTCAGGTCAGATTTCAGGAGGTCACACCTACCAGCCAGGATAATTCACAGGGAGGCAATCCATCTCTGTCTGTAGAAACACTGCTTGACAAATATAAATGCACATATGGATTCACGACAGCTCCTCCTTCTGCTGTTGTCCAAGCATAGCCAGGTGCAGCAAACATCTGACTGAAAGCTGGAGCTGGTACAGCTTCCAGTCGGGGATGTTTACAACAACAGACTACCATACATCACTGCAAGGGCCTCGGTGCACAGCAGCTGCTCACCTCTAGGAGAGGGAAATAAAAAAAGAAAGGATTTAAGACTAGCTTCTGTAGCATCCCAGCCAATTACTGTGCAGCTAATATTGAAGAAAACATGTTTTTACATTCAGTAGCAAAAATAGTTTTAGATTCACACACAACTTACATTAAATTAACATTTCTAAATGTAGCAACTAGATGAAAAATTCTCAAATTCAATAGTAATTTTAAGACATCTCTAGGTTCAAATAGGTTAATTCTTATCTATATATTGTTTTGTATTTATGTAAATATATATTTAATTTATACATTTAAAATAGACATAAAATAATTATTATTTTAAAGATACATTGACTTTACTTCCCTATAGACTCATTCCTGGAGGTCTCAAAAACAGACTTCCACTTTGAACTTTCCCATGAATTTTGAAAATGGCTATTCTCTCATAAATATTTATGGTTTTAAATACAGCTCTATGCAAAATTAAAGACAGAAGCAAAAACAAGGCATGTTCTTAATGAAAAAATACCAGAAACAGAAACTAGACAGAATTCTGAAAATATTTACCCTCAAGGTCAAAATCCTGCCTGATCAGTTTAAAGCTCTATTACAACCAACTGATTAAAATAAACCCAAACCAAACCTACTCTCTTTGGGTAAGCATTAAAGGAGAGAAATGGGATGAGAGGGAAAGCAACCTCAGGATGGAACCACTTCACTCCCCATCCTCAAGCTCCCATCAGAACTCCCACAACACTTGCATTCAATTCTGCAATAATTTTTTTTTCTCCAAGTTAAAAGAACCTTTATAATATTAAAATTTAGTATTTACACTGTATAATAGTCAAAGAGGAAACAGTGTACCTTACACTGAAGTATTTACTAAAAGCATTTCACTCAGTTGGTTGTTGCACTTTCTCCTAATGCTCTGATTTCACACCATGGACTTGGGAGCATTCAACCATTCTGGCTTGATCATATTCACATACTACTTAGAAGCCTTAATTTTGTAGTTTATAGCAGAACACCTTCCTCCCACTAACAGAGCTGCAAGCAGAATGATATATTCCCCATTTAACAGTCTTTATCACTTCCAAATGAAAATAATTTTTCAAGTCACAAGTTTTCCAGTGCCAGATTATACAGAAACTTCAGCAACTCAAGGTTGCTTGTTCTCTCTTCAGACCTCCACAGCAACTCATACAACCAGAAATTATGACAAGGTGTTTAAAACTGAAAAAAAAACTACTGTATTCAAGATTTCTAAAGTTCCAGAAACCCACTCACATCCAGTTTTCAAAGAAAGGTTTCCCTCTGCAACACAAGAAATTGTTACTAGTAAGTGAATTTCATTATTGCAGCAGCATGCCAAGATTAACGAGGAAGCTCCATGCAGTCACTATGGATACCATGCTGACCTTCATTACTTTTGAGAATAAATAACTAAAAAGCCAGTGGTCATTTGCAACAAAGGCCTCTTCAGGCTGTTCCAAAACTGAAAATTCCTATTTTACATTGGAAAGAAATAGGCTATTTCATGCAGAGGTAGGCACATGGTATTTGACTAATTAGGCTGCTGAGCATTAAGTTGCAATGAGCCATTTCTTTGGTTGCTTTCTTTAATACTTCTTAAGGAATAATGAAGGTTACTACAATGTTACCTGCCCAAAGAGAACAAACTCTCCACAACCTTGTTTTGTTTTACCATATGCATCATCACAAAAATGCCAATCTACATGACAATGGCATCTCTTGGTGCATTATTAGATTCACTATCAACTATAAATACCTGCACAACATCTTACAAAGTAATTATGTTTGTATAAAAGGAGTTGAAATTTTCATTTCCGAACATGGTATTGAAAAAGGCAGAGGCATTACAGGTGACAGTAAAACAACATGCTTGAAACACGCCAATTTCTAGAAAAGTTCAGTCAAAACTGAAGCCATACATTCATTAAGAAGCCTCTTCAGCTATTTTCCCAACCTTTCTTCTTTTCAAACAAAAAAGTAGAGAGCATACTCCAATCTTCCTTAATGGCACAGCCCTATTGTTTTCATAAAGACTAAAAGCTCTGAAAATAAACAGGATTTTTTCTAGTATCACAAGCTGAAGAACATTGGCTGCTGGCTTCTGTTAATGCCTTTAACTGTTTCTCTTGGGGACAGTAATAAAAGATACCATTCTTTGAAGTGTGAGGTCCCCTCCTAAGTCCACACACAGAGAACACAAGGAATGATGCAGATCTTCAATAATACATCAAGTCCTTCTGACACCTGAAATTTACCTCCTTGTTATTAGCAGCAACATAAGATCACCCTCCTAGGAACTGTTCTTCAGCTGTCAATACTCCAGAATAACAACAACAAAGAAAAATTAAAATCCTTATTTAACTACCAGAAAATTTGTGAATGCTGGCTGTTGACCTCCATTGTGAAGTTCTTCCTACTGTATTTAGATTTGTGTGCAGTTCAAGATTCCCTTTAATAGTTAGGATTTAATGTTTAATTCTCAATTCTCTTCTGGTCAATATGCATGACTTTAAAAAACCCTCATGGGATTCCCCTGATGGAAAAGTCAGGAAGAGACACTTTTACAATACTGTTTGTGTTCATTCACCAGTTTCAAATCAAAGCCATGCAGATCACCAAGACTTACTGCAACTTTCCCAAGCCTTCATCATTAATTTACCAGTCACACAGAACTTCTATTGCACCTTTCATGAGCACCTTGAGTAAAAAGTCCAGCAAGACAGGAAGGAGGAGAAAGAAGAAAGGAAGAGGGTGAGGAAGCAAACAGCCAAAGAGCTTCCTCCTTCTCTTCCCCCACACCTTAAGACTTCCTCCTCTACAACCACCATCACCACTGAAACTCAGTGTATTTAGGGCCTCAGTTACCACATAAAAATACTGAAAAGTGAATGGAGCCCAAGGAGCCTGTGTGTGCATGCTCGTGTGTGTGTGTTCGGAGCCAAGATCTTGTCAGTCAGTCCATCTGTCAGTCAAAGCAATTTAGCCTGAGATGCCTGATGCAAGCACAGTGATGAGAAATGACAGAGGCAGACAGATGTTCACTGTTGCCATGAGGTTTTTTTTTTTTTGAAGTCATGAATATTAACCAGAAGAGAACTGAGAATTAAACATTAAAACTTAACTATTTAAGGAGTCCTTGAACTGCACACAAATCGAAATACAGCAGGAAGAACTTCACAGTGGATATCAAGAGCTTCCACTGTGAACTGCAGTGAACTGACACCCACACAGAGTTCACTGTGGCACTACAACTTAACAATACCCATCATGAGGAATTACAGTGAAGTAGGAAGTGAACACAAGTAGTTTTAACACTGCATTTCCTGGGTATTTTCAGAAAAACATGTTCAGCTTCTTTTGATCACTAATACTTACACAGTGCAACTAATAAATTCAGCACAAGAGGGAGAAAGACCTTTCAAACTGGGACATGAATTCTAACAAAATGAAAAACTGAATCTAACATTCAACTAACAGTTGTAAAGAAAAAGGAAAAAAGTGTCTTTGTATTTTAAAAATGTCTGGGAAAGCATGAAAGTAGAATGTTACTAGCACACCTCAGATGGAATTTCAGTGAGGGCTGGATGCATATACCATACGAAATTATTTCAGTAAAACAAACTACAGAAGTCTGTGTGGTAAATTAATTATTTTTATCTGACAAATGGAGTTCTAAGGAGGACAAACTACTGAAAAAGGATAATGGTGTGAGACAAAATAAAGTTCAGATCCTTATTCAAGATTGCCCCACATCTTAGTCTGAACAAAGTTCGAAAAAGTCATAAATTTAGTGTGCTCTGCCTAAGAATGATGGCAGCAGTTATATACCCCCTTCTTCCCCACCAGAGTCTCATATTCCTCTGGCTGAGCAACACAGCTCAGCCTAAAGAAACCATATGTTTATTTATGGAACAGCATCTTGGCTCTCCACGGGGTGGAGTACCATACCCAAGATGTCATTCAGGCCAATTAAGTCTTTATTTCAGGGAAGTTCTGCAGTAACTGGTAATCTCCACAGTCACCACAGGAGGTAGGAAGTGGCTAATTCAAGGTCATTTTGCTTTAAAAATGAGCTAAAAAAAATTAAAACTCATCTACCACACTAAAAAGTTATCATAATGAATTACCCTCATAAAGTCCCAACCAGAAGGTTAACCTGCAATCAAGAACAGAAAAAAAAGAAACATTATTACCACCCTTACTTGTATTTCTCTTCCTCAGTACACAGTCATCCAGCTTTTTATATTGCTACAGGAGATAGAGCAACATGCACTGTTATTTTCACTTTCTAGATTTTAAACTTTTCCAGCAGGACAGCCTCATCCCAATGCACAAGAGAAACCTGAACAATCTAAAAAATTAGAGGAGAAATATGAATACTGTGAATGTATTAGGCCAGATTTCACATAAAGATTCCATCCTCTCCATCAAGATTTCATTGAAGTATTACTTCCTGAGTGTCAGCAAGAAATTTTGATTATACAACCTCAGTAGGTCTGACATTGTAACTCATTACTGCTACCCATGGCATAGTTTTAATTTCATAGTTTCAGCTATGTACCTCTCTTGCTCCCTCTTACAGGAAAGGAACTTTTGCCTCTGAAGAGTTGGAAGACTGAAGAGTCTTCCAACTCCTAACATGGGCCCATAATCTGTCTTTTCTTCTTCCAAGGTAACCAATCTCACTGATCCAAGATGACAAAACTGCCTGTAAATCTGGGCTTTTTCACTTTAAAGGCATCTTTAAAGTATAAGATTCAGAAGATCCTCCAATCTGAAAAAATACAAAAAGTTCATACCAATGATCTGATTGCTCTAAGAGAGTGGAAGACAGAAGCACAAGGACAAAAAACAACCTTAAACTTGACAAGAAATAGAAATGAAGAATATACCTAATAGATGTTCATTGCAGTGCCCTCTAAAAAATAATCTAAATACCAGGAATGGTAAAGATTGAATTATTTGTAGTAAGTTCACTACTGAAGCCCTCCACACCTGCTGACTCAAACATGGCTGAGCACGGATGGAAAAACCTTCCTAAAAAGACAGAAACAAAAAAAAAATCTATATAAATATGTCATTTGTTAAGTAGGTTGATGGTTGTTTGGGGTTCTTTTGAGTGGATATCAATTGAGTCTGGTGTCCCAGACTCCAATCAATGACACATTTAGCACACTCCTTCACTTAATGACTTTTCACTCACATTTGCAATTATAATTCTCTGGTGATATCAGCTGCCAACAATAGCTCTCTGTAACACTGCAAGGGAACAAGTAGAGAACTGCAAGCAGACATTCCAAGTCCCTTTGCTTACCTTGCTGAACAAGGGCACATTTGGACAGTCTGCTAACAGCAGGGTCCAACAACTAAGTCTGCAGCAATTACTAAATTGCTGCAGAAGCTGGTAAGGGCCAGGCCACCAAGAGATCCACAGGAAATGCTCCCATTTTAAGGATAATCCTCTGTGAATGTATTCCAATCCTTCCAAATGAGTATAGTTGCAAATATGACAAGTCCTGGCATCATCACACTGAATTTTGAAAGCAGAGTCTGGAGGCTGCTATTGCAGCCTGTAGATTCTGCTGAAAGTACAGTGTCATAACCACCTATTTTCCCTGCTGTATAAAGAGGGCTCAGCTGCTCCACTGCAATTAAATCCTGAGGGATATCAGACTGAGAAGCAATCTATACACCTGTATCAATCCTTACCTTGCACCCAGAGCATATACACTTTTTAAAATTACTTCAAAGAAAATAAGCCCAACCCAGCAAGCATGCAAGTCACAAACATCAGATAAGTACACAGCACTTGGGTTTACAAAACATCTTTGTTCTTATGCAGAAGTTTTTGTTTTTTTTTTTTTTTTTAAAGAAAGTCAATTACTTGTTTTGCAATAATACTCAGGAGATCCATCCTTTTAAGCATACTCGTAATCCTGCTTCCACAGAGGAAACACTGCACGCCAGAACAGCACAGTCATGGCATCCACTTCAGAATCAACAAATCTCAAAACCAAAACCATGCAGCATGAAACATTACAAAACTCCTTTCAACTACTTTAATACTGATTATCTCTATTTAAAATGCAGATTTCACCAAGTCTGTCTCAGAAAATAATTTTCAGGATTTACTGACAGTAATTGGAACCAGACACAGTGCGCTGGCCAAGCAGCTCATTTTGAAAACATTAACTCCATATTATAGAATCAATCTTACATCAGATCTGACAAATAGACTTGGAAAATTACTGCTTTCAGAGCCTCTCAAACACCATCTCCCCCAGAATCAAGCCACCTCCTTCAATAATTTATAACAAACAAGAATTAAAATAGACTTTCCTAGTCTGTAAATTTTCCGGGAGTATAACTGATAAATTTGAGTTATGTTTCCCTACTTGGATCAACATAAGAGTTGAAAAATTTAGTTACTGGACTTATACAATACAAGTCATAAAACTTTTTGAAGACGACAGAAGTAACTTTTAGCAGGATTTTTTTTTTTCCTAAATAATGAAAATAATTTTTGATTTTCATACTGACTGTTAAAAATTTTGCTTATCAACTACTAAATTAGTTGGGTTTTTTTTCTGTATTCTATGCAGCATTATGCCAAGATTCATCAAATCATAGAATATCCTGATTTGGAAGGGACCCATCAGGATCAAGAAGTCCAACACCTGGCTCTGTATAGGACACCCCATGAATCACACCATGTGTCTGTGAGTGTTGTCACCGACTAAAGCATCATGGCATCCACAGGAGGTTCCCACCATCCTTATGCCTGAGAACTCAAAAGTATAGAGTCCCATCAGCTTCTGGAAGGAACATGGAAAAAGTCTGGATGAAATTAATTTTGATAATCTTAAGGAATTAACAAATATTTATCAAAGGCAGAGCACAGCCAATCCTGGGGGGCTCTGATGAAAGTTGAATGGCCCAGAGAATATTCTTTGACTTCAGGACAGGTCTTCCACCACAGACTCCACCACTGGAAGCTGAGGTGCCCAGAGCTCCATGAAGGGAAGGGAAGCTGGCCAGATCTCTGGATCACACAGCAGCAATCAGCAGCTGAATATGCAGCTGCATCTTGGCCTTGCAGGACTCCAGGGGCCACCCCAGAGCCCCAAACACTCACCAGCACCCAGGAAGCTGGGGAAGAGCACACCCTCAGCAAACTGGCAGGGGATCAGAAAGGAGGGGAGCAGGGAAGAAGGGGGTCCAACAGGAAATGGGAGGCACAAACATAAACATACAAAGATAAACACAAGGATGGGACCAAACCAAACCTCATCAGGCCCAGGGCAGGAATGCAAAGCTGTGCCCCCAGGCCCCAGCAAAGGCTGCAGGAAAGGGCCCAGGCACTGGGGCAGAACCTGGAGGGGACAGGAGCCAAGGGAAGGGGTGATCCCTGCCTGGCTGGACCCTGGCAAGGCCACTCTGCACATATCTGGTGTGCAGGAGCCTGAGGGACCAAGGAGGGTCCAGCCATGGGTACCCAGTGGTCAAGGGCCTCAGGGGCATCATCCAGAGGGAGAGGCAGAGGGAGACAGGCCTGTTTTCTCTGGCACACAGGATGCTGGGACCTTCTGAGAGCTGCCTACAGCTACACCAAGATGGGAGCTGTAAAGACAGTGCAGACACTCTCAGCCCTGCAGACAGGATAAGGAAGAGCAATGGCCATAAAAGGCACCATGGAATATCCAGGCTGGACACAATGACAATCTTTTTCAGTAGGAGGGTGGTGAAGAGCAGGCACAGGTTTCACATGAAGGCCATGGGTTTGCTGTTCTTGGGGGTTTTCACAGCTTCAGGGGTCAAAGCCATGACTTATCCCATCCAGTGCTTCTTCTACCTCACTTTGAATGAGTGGTTGGGCCACAGACCCCCAGAAGGCTCTTCTGACCATTACACCTGCAACTCCATAATCTCATTAATTCCTGTGATATGCTTCCAGCAACTACAGCCTTGTTTATATAATTGTCCTCAGACATAATGAAGTCAATATTGGATATATAACTATCCATAGATTACATCAGTACAGTCTTTTCTATAAATAACAAGGTGTTATCAATAGATTCCACTGCCAGCAGGTCCAACAGTTCCGAAATCACAAATATTTGATGTTAACACTACTTTTATCAGCTGACGACAAATATTTTTTAAAATAAATTACAGAGAATATAGAAGCTGCATACCTAAACCTACTGTATTTAAATATGCTGCCAAACACTATCCCCTGGTCACTTCTGTAGATGACTCAATGTTCTTCCAGAAAAAGAACACTTCAAGATTATAATTTTATGCCAGTGTATTAAAGAACAAGCAACATGAAAGATATTTTTACTTAGCTTGCATGTAGGGACTCCCTCAAATTTGAAAAAGGCAGCAGAATGTTTCCTACAATACACTATTTTGAAGATGAAAGCTTTAAAATCTTATTCTGAAGCAGTACACAGGGATGTCTCACATTTAAGGACTGACTACTGCTTTTCAGTCTCTTTTTTTTTCTCAGCAAATCTCATTTTTGTTTCCTCCCAATACTGAATACAGTTTTTCAAAGCATCATAAACTAAATACTGAAGATGGACAGTATGACCCAAACTATTTCTCAGTCACCCTCCAAGTGCAGGGCTTCCATAATAATCAGAATTAAACCATTTACTGTAAACAATCAGTTCAGAAATAACTCAGGAGTAGAAGGACTGGTTCCTATAACTCATTCCCACAACACTGCGGTTTAAGCAACAATTCAATGCTACCAACAAAATAGCCTGGTGAAGGGGAAACCTAGATCATTACCTAATACTAAAGTCTGGGGGTTTGGGTACTTCTGGTGCAGCAAACCTGAAATTCCTATGCTGTCACCAAGTTTCAAACTAACAATGAGAGCTACTCAATTTTATCAAGATTAGTAGCTAAAATGAACTCTCTTCCTTGCACTAACTGATTCTTTTCATACCTTTTGGTTAACTAACTAAAGCAGTTCTCTTAAAAAAAGACACAAACCCCAACCCTCTGCCCACATTAGTGGGTAGTGTGCAATGGGAGGAGATCTGCGAAACCACAGCTTGTGCTGAAGACAATATTTAAATTACACGTACCCCAGGGTATCTCACTTCAGAACAGGCTCTAATCCTGCCTAAAGTCTAAATGTCCATAAACCAAACCTATCAGTGAAGTCTGGAAGCACATGCTTTAATTCTGATTCTTCCAAAACATGACTTGCATGTTCAGCAGGATCAGCAGCAAAGAATGCCAGTACCCAGCCTACAGTGACAGGCATTCTGGGGATAACAACATACAGTTGTTCTCAAGTTAATCTTGAGGCAATTATTATTAGCTCTGCAAAATACAGAGTGACACAAGAACATAACTATATGCAGCTGAATTTTGTGTCGTACCTCAAACAGAAAACAACTGTGCAATAAGAACATCATTTAATGCAACTTAGTATTGCTTTATAATTATCTTAATGAGGGAGGCTGTTGCACAATGACTGTTCCAAAACCATGAAAAGAATACTCACACCACAGAGGCTGACTACTGGTACACTTTCAGGATGGTTTAAACTGAACATGGCAAAAGCACTGTGACAGAGGAGTAGTCATGTTCTCTGTCTTCCAGCTGAGGGATTCCTACTTCCTCTACCACTCCAGGAATCTTTGGATTTCATGATGCAATTTACTTGGGCAACCACTATATTAGCTGCAAAATAGTCCTGGGGAAAAAAAAAAGAGGAAAAAAGATAAGTTTTCTGCAACAGAAGGCAGGTGATTTCAATCACTGGAGAGCAGTTCAACCCTCAGCACTGACAGGAAGGTACTGCATGGGCCAGGACTGCCCATTTTGGTGGTGATGCAATCCTAAACCAAGATAGGTGAAATGTTTAACCACCACAGAACCTTCCCTTCCCCGGCTCCCTAAAATGACAGAAATACTGAAGACATTTGGTATCAACATTTGGAGTGGGGAACAGTAATATGAGCAAGATGTAGCTCTCAAAGAAAGAGTAAACAACAAAAAATTAATTTGGCAAAACCACACTTCCTTAAAGGTAGTATTAACTTTGCAACCATTTAGATGCAGCTCCAATACTTCCCTGCCTTGCAACAGGAACCTGACATTTGGGGAAAAAAAAAAAAAAAATCAGCAGAGGAACATCATGTTGCTTTTCATTCTCTGCATTGAAGTTCACCCCCACTGCAAGTCTGAACACTGTCCTTCAGCCTCTTTTGTTAACACTGCACATTAACATGGAGCTCTTCCCACAGGCTTCTGTGCCAAACACAGTCAGCAGACTCCACCTCCATGGAAATCAGCTGAGCAATTCCACAGCAATCACTTTTCCCAAATGCTGGAAGGAGTCCCAAGTCTGTTTTCTGTTTCCAAAGCTCCACTTGCCAGTACTTGGTACACTGCAGGTTAGTCCCAAAAGCACCCAGCCCTTGGGGAGGCCAAGACAAACCAAAAGGACACAAGAATACACAAAATCCTGAGTAACCTGAAGCATCTTAAGGCAAAAATTCCCTTGAAGACTTTGCTGGTATAACATGTTGCTGAATACTAATATTCCTAAAAAAATATCTGTGAAAACCTCCACCCAAGGATGTGGTTCTGTCCTCCTTCACTGACTGGAAATGACACACGTGCTGCTGACACATGAGCATCAGTCACTTCATTAGGTCAAGGGTACAGCTCTGCAGAATTAGTATGAGTGATGCAAGCCAAGCCCAAGAGTAGAGCTCCCACACAAAAATGTCATTAAATATGGACTTTCTGCACCACAGATTTTATTTTCTATATAAGAGCCTGAAATAAGGCTCATTAAAGGTAGGCATCAACCATAATAAATCAGCTAAAGAAATTAATTAAAGCTGCCCACCTCATTTCACCATATTTGCATATATGTTTACAAAAATAGAAAAATAAGCAAACATATGGCTCTTCATGGGAATCCTGCCATACTCAGTTCATGAACCAGACATGTCCCCTCAAAGAAATTTGAAGTGCAAGGATGCAACAGTCCTTAAGACTTACTTCACCTATTAAAAGAGCCAAGACCATATTAGCTCATCAGAAATGCTGTAAAAACATCCAAAAAATTCCTCTCAGCAATCAATTCCATTAAAGAAAAGACAATTTCATGTGCAGTTTGTAATCTTTCAAAGTGAAACATTCAAATATAGCTGGTTCTAGAGCAAAAACCATCAGCAGAAGCATTTCTAGAATAAGCAGGTTTTGTGAAAATTGCTAAAAGTTGACCTGTACAATGAGACCTACAAATGCACGCTTAAGGAAATGCTGCAAACACAGGCTTCCAGTCATTTGTATACAATAAACTCTAGCACCAAAACTCACCACTCTTGCACAAAGCCACAGTCAGCTGCCTTAGGCTCCACTTAAATGCAGGAAACAGAGAATCATAGTTGGCAAAATCTGTCAAGCTCTGTGTGCAAGTGAAAGCTAGTATTTCATCTTGCAAATACCAACTTTAATAAAATACTATTTGAAAGTACAACACCTCAAACTAATTCTATTTAACAACTTAAACCAGAAGCTTGAAAGACAGGAAACAGCACAGAGTTATCAATAGCCTGTACACCACAGTGCTTCAGCCTCCAATGATCTGCAAGTCTCATCTATGCAAAGATTAACCAGACAGCTAAAATAACTTGATTCTACAAAGGGGGAATAAATGATTGAAGCAAACAGCCACATAGTTCAAGTTACCAGCAGATTATAAACTGTCTAAACTATTAAGGAATAGATTTGTAGTGTACCAGTAAACTGACAGAAAACTAGTAGTCACCTCATTTAAAGTAGGCAACTTAAGAAAACAGTACCCCTTCTCCCACCCCCAAAATAAATTAAATTAATTTAATTAATCAGAATAAATTAATGATTAAGAGTCTTTGAAAATTGCAGCAGAGGTTTGGTTTTACTGGGATGTCTGATACTCTCAGGAGAAATTTAAAAGTAGTATTACACATTACAGCTATTCAAGCTGTGCAAATATAGGTCTTGTTCCTTAATTTCTACATAAGCAAGAAGTCAGGTATCATTAACTACAACAAGAGGGAACTTCACACTGAAATTCATGTTGTGTAAGAAAGAGCAACAAACAAACCAAACTTCTCCCTGATCTTGCAATATGCAACTTCACATTAACATACAGAATCACAGCTTCCATCAGTTTGTTAGAACCAAGGAATGTTTAAGTACACAGATTCATTATACTTAGATGGGATTTTACTGCTTCTAGTTAATATTTGGCATAACCTGACTCTTAACTGAAACATCAGCTTAGCAGACCCTGATCTAACTAGTGTGTTTATCAAGACAAGTAATTCAGTCACCATATTCAAAGCAAAAAACTCATAAAATTTTAATTAGGTTTCTGAACTCAAAGCAGTCATGCAAGCTGAAGGCAAATGAAGAATGCAAGACCAAACAATCGTGCCTAATCATATAATATCTGAGGATATCAACTACTACATTTATTTTGTAATTCAAAATATTAAATCATTGGATCAGATGTGGCAACTCTTTTTTCAAGTTAGAGTACTCAGAAAAAGAAAGGAAGTCAAAACTGACCGATTAGTAGTTTAAGAAAATATCACAGATTTCCTTGTTAAAGAATCTGTCTTGTATCACAGCTGAGTCAAGTTTGAACACTTGAAGTTCTGTTCAGCTAGAGATATGCACACCAGTCTTCATAAAGCCCTAGAAGTCACCTTCACCTTCCTCAGCATTTCCTTGAAATACTCCCTTGATATATTCAGAACAGATGAGGGCCAGGTTGCAGAAAAACTGTCTGCCCTGATACCAGAACATTCCCAATGTTCCAGTGACCTGAAAGTACCTGATCCTGTGAGCAGACAGCTTAGCTATCCCACTGCAAAGGGCTGTGGGAAATTTGTCCTTGACCTACAGGGAGATCCAAGGGTTATGCTCACAGAACCACTGCCAAGAAAAACATTCCTGAACACTGCCTTTGTTGTACTGGGATAAAGTATACACCTGTCAAACTAATATTAAAAATTAGTTAGCTGTAGTATTTCTTATCTTAACCTAATTTGATAGGAAAAAATGTGTTTACTTATCCTTCAATAAGTGAGTGATATATTGATTGTTCTTAAGGTAAAGTTTTACTGGGCAAGTTTACTGAACAATAATTAAAGATAAGCAAAACTCCAAAAGAAGCAGACTAGAGAGAAGATGAGAAAGAATATTTATTATATACAGATTATGCTTGTAAATCAGGTAATTTAGGTAAGTTTATCAGCAGGGCTAAAAATATATCACATGAGATCTCTATAAAATGCTCAAGATACTCCCAGAAAACATGGAGTTAACAAAACACACTACACTAATCATATGAGCATGTTGCAAGCATGTTCATTAAAGTACTGATGCATATCAAATATGGACCAGTCAGCCAGCAAAATGAATACAGATAGAATGGAAAAGCAACTCTTTCAACACAAAGGTGCCCATCTCCAGCCAGAGCCTGAGTGAGGATGAGGCAAAAGAAAGGAAGATGTGATGGAAAACTCAGCAATTTTAACTTTGAATACTTAAAGTTCACACTACTGTCTTGTCAGGCTCAACAGCAGAGACAAGCTCAAATCAAATGAAGAATGCTTTGGAACTCTAGGTAAGAACAACCAGATGTGTCACCATGTGTTAAACCAGAACAGAATTTTCTGTCTGTTCTGCTTTTACCCTTTTGTTTCCCATTTCAATCTTAATAAATGAGTCTGCCTTCTGTTTCACTATTTTGTTTGCCTGGTACTGAGGACACAGGGAAAGGAGACAGTTTGGTGAAGGCTTAAAAACCTGCTCTGTGCCAGCAGCCCAAGAAGTACCCTGAGAGAGGTGCTTTGGAAGCTCCTGTGCTGAGGAACATTTTCTGCCAAGCTGCAGAGAGTCAGCAGGGCATCTTCTGCTGCCAAAAAGCACTTTCCAGAAGCTACAAATCTGAGTCTTTTCTGGGAGTTACCAACAGTACACAACACAGCTCCCCACTCACCCAAAACTGCAAACTCACGCTGTGATCTCTGCATGTGCAAGTCCCCATGGAAGTCAGAGCACGGCCACTCGGAGCAGAGGGGACAACACAGAGCCACCAGCTCAGCCCCCAGAACACTGGAAACACTCTGAACATCTGCAGAATGACAGCCCTGCATTTGGCTGAACCCTGCTGGAGCTGCAGAGAGAACAATGAAGTGCATGAATAAAGCCCTCTGAGGCTCAGCTGGCAGTTTGATTTATTATACTCACGTTAAGCCTCCAATGTTCATTCTCTGCATAGCTCGGATACAGCAAAGGATTTGGTTTGGACTAACTTACTTTATTTCTCTATTTTTTACATAAAATGTCCATGTTCTTACAAATTTCACTAATACCACTTTGATATCTAACATGTTGATTCAGTGTGAAACATCAGAATTAAACAGCGTTTTAGCTTCCTCATTCCCACAGGATTCATCATGCCCTCAGACATGAAACAATCTTATCTAGGGCACTTCTTGTGAATATTTTAATCATTTTCCCTTTATCTTTCTAACCTTCAGTTCTGCAAAAGATACAGACCACATTTGCTCTACCTTCTTGTGCAGTTAAACTCTTTATTGCTGTTGCTCAGACTGAGGCATGCTAAGACAGTGTATAAGGAACAAACTGGTATTACTAAAGGATAACTGCAGGCATGCAAAATTATCTGTACTAAATAAATTTTAAACTGAAAGGTGTGTTGTGATCCTTCCATTCAAATGCCAGCTCAGACAATGCCTCTTTTTTGGGAAGTAGGGTATTGTCCAGTCAGACCAGTTCACTACTCTCGTAGCTTGTGGAATTTTCTGAGGAGGAAAAAAAGCAGGAACATTTTGAAACAAATACAAACAGAACCAAGTCACTATTGATCAACTAGATCTCAATACACTCTCTTCCATATGTATATTTATTATTATTATAAATTGATATTATAACCTTTTTCAAGTAAGAATCAGTAAGGAAGGAGGACTTTTTTTGTTCTGTTTCTGGATTTATTTTTTCTATAATCCTTATCATTGCACAAGAGGTTACAGATCAATCATTCACCAGTGCAGCCATCCCTCCTGCTCTTCTTTCCATGCCACACACCAACAGGGCATCCAACCAACAATCTGGAAAAGACCACTGAGCCAGGCAATGAACACTCAGGCCAGACAGCCACCCCAAGAGTTCTCCAATAAATTAGATAAAGTAAGTTATGTAAACAATTTATCACAAATAAGTCTTACTACCTTCCAGACCTTTTCAGAAAAAGAAACAAATCATCCCACAGGTTCAGGCAGTAAGATTTTGGATCATTTTAATATCATTCCATGTGATGCATGCCAAAGGTAGATCTGAATAAACTTGCAGATGAAGTCTATAACAAATTGAAGAGATTTTTTTAATGTTTTCCAGTCCTGATAGTTCTGAAAGCACTAACCTTTCCCTCATCCCAGAAGTTCCCCTGACTCTGGTGGGCATGCCTTCAGCCTCATATATATTTCAAACTTGAAGGTTTTTACCTCTCCTGAGTATGGAACAGTGATCACAACAGAAAAAATCCCCAGCATGTCCCCAAAATGCAGCAGCATGCAACAGCACCCTGACAGTCTATTCAGCTTGTTCTCAATCTGATTATTCACGTGTTCTGTACTGACTGCCATCTGCCTACTCCTCCTCCTGTCTCTATCTGACACAGACTTTGTGCCATCTCATGAGCCTTTTTTTTGGCACTTCTCTGTACACTTCCTTCAGGACACTGCTACACAGAGGGAATAAACTTCATTGTAAGATTGTTTCCTGTAACTCCCCAGGCATTACATTTCAAATCAACTCAAATTTAGAAAAGGTTTTGCCATGTAACTCTCAAAGAAACCCTATATATTTATCTTTTGTTTTAAAAACATATCTATAATATATACATTATGCATGCAGATAAATTATACATATTAAATATATGTATAAATATATTTACATAAATATTTAAGACAGGAGACAGATTCAAGACAAAGTTAGCCACTATTCACACTCATTTTTTTCCCCATTTAAACTGCAATTTGAGCACTAATCACCAGAAGATACATACCAGAGTAAGCACACAGGTATTTTTATTTCAGGCAAACAATCCACAGCTTCATAGGACCTGACAGTTGTCTCTATTAGCTGCATGGCTGTTGCAGCCAAATCTTATCATGCACTGAAAAGGACGCTGGGATTAATTACGTAGCTCCAATCTGGCCCTTTTATTAGTACCAGGAATGTTCATTCCCCAAGTTGTGCATGACAGTCACTTAAAACTCCATCTGGCTTTTATGACTTACACCAGGAACTTCCGTGCTAAGAGTTCATGAATGTATTAACTGCACTGAGGGTTTGGGATTTTTTTCCTCTCTCTTAAAGAAAGAAGCTCACAACAAACAGCTGAAGTATGAACAAACCTCCAACTGCTGTTAGCACTTGGAAATTTAGGAAGAAAGAAAGATTCTCTGCTTCTTTACACAATGGTTGTTTGAAAAATGTGGAGAAAAATAAATGCAAAAGATCCTTCTCTTTACTCTCTCTGCTGCTGACCTTTAGACCTGACACCCACCGCATCCGGTGGGAAACTTTTTCCAAGAGCCAGCCTTCTTATAAATATTTTAGCAGATTTAAGCATCCAGACCACATTTTATTTGCCCACATCTACTAAAAAAGCTACTGATTCATCACAACATATATGTGGACCTTTATATTTACATAAGTATCTGTCACACAATAAAATATAATTAACAGAATCCTGAATGTGTCATGTGAAGGTACTTTTGAAGCTTGGGTTTTTTGGAGGAGTTTGCTTTTTTTAAATGATATTTATTCTTACAGCTGCTACAAGGCTCTAAAATACAACTTCATTGCTGCCTATTCTCCTGTACATAGTTTTAAAACAGATTTCAATATCCTACATAAATAACAAAGACACTAGGAAAAGTTCATGCATCCCTATCTTTGGTCAATAAACGTAATAGTGATAACTCTATTTCCTTCTCAAAATATAATTTCAAGTTTCTCTTAGATGTTCTGCCAGTAAACGTCCTTAAACTTGCAAGAACAGCTTACTTAAAGGAGTCTGTTCAGCTTTTCAGTGTCTAAGGACTGCACCTGTTCCTTTTTAGATAACCAGTCCCCTTGTCAAGTCTTCCATTCCTCTTGTTTCTCCACTACAATGAGAAACTGTTTTGTTCAGCACGGGGCAAGTCCCTCTGGAAAGTCACAGGAGAGATTTCTGTGACTTTCACAAGGAACATCAGCACTCCTCTCCAGGTGCACTTCTCCTCCAGGTGAATTCTTCTTCCTTCTGTAGGTGGTTCCCCTACAGAGCTATAAATTTCACAGTCTTGTAGACGGCTGTGCCAGATTAGTGCTCATAAAGAAACTTTCTAGCTGCTCCAAACAAGCCATGGAGTCAGACAAGGACAACCATGTTCACCAAGACAGGTAATCAGGAATTTGGCTCCCTCACACTGCTACAGCACTAACAAAAGAGACTGAACTATGAAACATTAGACACTATTGAAAGAAGGTGCTCTGTTTACTTAGAACTAGATTATGCACATTGCTTTACTGCACGATTTTATGCCAGCAAGTTTCAGTTAGATTTAGCAAGCAAGAAAAACAGAAGAAATGTTTGGGTTTAGTGCTTATAATGCAGGGTTTGTTACAATTTCACCCATCAAGTGGCAGTACTTTCATTACACATGATTAAATGTTAACAGCAAGGACAAGTCTGAAGGATCAGTATCTGAAGACACAATTCCTCCCAAAGACCTTGTAACAAGAAGTGTGCAGTGACAGTGTAATAAAAGCCTTTATTTTCCAGTCTTAGCATTATCGAGGCTTCTGTTGACACTGAAGTCCTTTGGGTTTTATGGCTGTTTTATCACCAGCCATCAAAACTGCATTAGTGGCCCATCTACATATGATACAGATCAAGGCTTCAGTCCAGTAAAACCTCTGCCACATGACTTCACAGGGGTTACAGCTCTATTACCAAAAGGAGCAGGGGACAAACTGTCTCTCACTCCAAGTTATTCCTCTGATGTCTCCTAGGACACTGTTATGCTCCTGGCTCATAGGAAACTCGCATGCAGACATCTGAGACAAGCAGCAGCTCTCAACCCCTCCCGTAAGATAACGCCAGTGAATTATCATGCATGAGAACAGCAGGACAGGATGTACAGTGTGAGCTTACATAAGACACAAGGCACGGCTGGGAACCAGCACAAGTGAACAGCATAAATGGCTCAGAAAATGCTGATGTCACTCGTGTACGTTCAGCTTGTGCTGGCCAAGTTTCTCTGAACCCAACACCGGCCTTTCTGGCTTTGTAAAACCTTGCAGTCTGCTCTGCTACAGCCACATCTTGAAAAGGAACTTGTTTTCAAAAACCTGTGTTCCTTCCTAATGAGAGCTTTCTTTAAGATGAGCAAGAATCTAAAGAAAAACAGAAAATGTAATGGAGAACTGGAAAAAGCATGTAATTGTGTAAACAAACACTTGCTCCTAATACTTACTGAGAAAATAGTTCAAGCACAACTTACCCGTTTTAAAACATGACCTCTGCAAACCTACTAAGGTCAATGAGACTTAGAGTAGTTACTCAGTGAGCCTGCTTGCATAAATTAAAGATGCCTAAGGGTAGCTATGAAACCAGGTATTTGATTTTTCCAGGGCACCTACATATTAAGAATTAACAATGAACTGCCATTCTACCAGAGCAGCTTTCAGGTTCATTAAAAAAAAAAAAAAAGAAAAAACACAAAACCCAAACCAAACCCAACTGGGTTGTGCTTACCTCTTCTTCAACACAAAAGTTTTCCTACTTAATGTTAATCTGATTATGGAAGTTTCATATTAAATTGAGTAGGTAAGTGAGACACTATATATCAAATTACTTTATAAAAATGCCTGATGTATGAGGCAAGCATTGCTTCTTCCTGGTGTATCCTTATACAATATATTTTAAAAAATAGAAAAAACCCCATCTAATCTAGCTGCACAAGTCAGTATTAAGCAAAACTGTAAAGAGAGAAAACTTTTTTCACTCAGGTCAGGATTTGCAGCAGCAACTCCCAGCTCTGTGCTTGGCTACTTCCATTTGTTATTGCAGTACCTGCACTTCAGAGCAGTGTGTGAACCAGGACAGTCAAGTCCTTCAGCTTCAGAACTCTTGTATTTAGGTTTTTACCTATGAAATGCTGGAAGTATTCTGATTTTCCACATAGAGCATCCAGTAACCTGAGGGGGAAAATACTGTTCCTAAAATGAACATTGCCTTTTATTACAGGTATAATGAACTTATTGGCACTCCCTTCACTCCCTTATTCCCTTTCAAAAGCACCATGTAGTTCAGAGATGCCAACTACCAGGGATAATCTGCTACATTAGAAATTCACAGGGTTTCCTTAGCAGTGGAAGAGGACACCACACAGGTTTGTTCCAAACAGAAGTGGAAAAAAAAGCCATCCATAAAGTATTTGCAGTGTGGAATAGCAGGTCTTTGAAAGCACACACTACATCAAAATATGAAATGCAAGATGACCACAGTGCAAATCATGCAACATCACAGGTTATTAAATGTCTTTTTAAGCAAGCTCTTATTTCCATCAAAGTGTGGCTTCTACAGTTCACATCCTGGCTAGAGCCTTTCTGCTTCTGTGATAGAAATAGCATCACTATCTACCCTTTATTACTACAGCAGATAAGCATTTCACAGTCATTAGTATGTTTATCCAGAGAACGTTTTTGGAAAGCACTGCTATTCCCAATTCATAAGCAAACACAGGACTGACTGGTGCAGAAAGACTGATCCAAGGTCACAGAGTAAGTCTGTGGTAAAGTAAGAAACTTCACCTGGTTTTGCCTTCCCGCAACTAATACTTTCTATTAATGAGTCATTGCTGCTCCTCTAAATTATTCTTTCAGCAGGAAGAGACAACAGACTGCCTGTGGCATTCAAACTCTACATGCTAATAGCAGCTCTGCTCCAGGGTTTGCTAAAAAAAAAAAAAAAAATCACACCCAAGGGCCTTGTTCTGTACTGTCACAGAATCCTGCTTGTACACTGGGCTGCTGTGGGGGAAAAAAAGGAATGTACATATATATATATTATTAGATAGCCTGCCTCGCTTGTGACCCAGCTCTTTCCCTAGAGAAACAAAACCCAGTCCTTGAATAGTTTCACTCCCTCACGCCACAGACCACCGGGCAAGGGCAAAGTGCAGGAGGAAGGGACGGACAACTGGGAGACAAGTTATGCAAAGCTGGGGGCCGGGGCGGGGAGCAGCGCTCCCTAAGGTCCACAGGGAAAAAAAAACCAAACCAACAAAAACCAAAAAACCCAACTTGTGTTGGCAGGTCACGGGGGTCACGGTGCCGGGGTCGCAGCCCCGGGGGCTCGGCGGGGGAAGGACCCGGCACGGGGGGAACACCGGGAGCGTGCGGGGCTCCCGTCCGAGCCCGCACAGCGCAGGGAGCCCGCTCCCAGCTGCCCCACCGCCGGGGCCGGCCGCGACCCCACACCCCGGGCTCCTCCAACAGGCGCTCACCGACCCAGCCCTGGCACCCTCCTCGCCGCCTGTCCTCCGCCCCAAGCTCGGCCCCGGAGCGCCGCTCCTGCCGTACCTGTGCAGGGAGGCGGCAGGGACCGAGGGGCTGCGTCGCCCGGCCGTCCGGTCCCGCGGCGCTTCCCGGAGCGGCCGTGCCCGGCCGTGCCCCGCTGCTGCCGCCGCCACAACCCCGCCGCGCTCGCTGCCCTCGCCTCCCGTTTGACCTTTCCGTGTCTCCGCCGCCCGTCCCCGGCACCCTCTGACGTCACCGCCATGGCAACCAATCCCCGCCCTCCTCTGGCCCCGCCCTCCAACCCCGCGCGCGCGCGCACGCGTCGCCTGCGGGAGGGGCGGGGCCGCGAGCCCCTCGCGGCCAATGAGCGTGCGCCGGGGGCCGGCCTGGCCCCGCCTCCCGGAGTCACCCACAGGGCCCAGAACCGATAATAAATATATAAAAGGATGTTATATATATTTATGTTATATATTTGTGTGTTTATGTATATGTGTGTGTGTGCGTATATCTGTGTGTGTGTATATATATATACGCATGTGTATGTATATGTATATTCTTTTTCCCCCCCACAGCAGCCTAGTGCACAAGCGGAATTCTGAGGCAGTTACAGAGCAAGGCCCTTGGGGGTAATTTTTTCTTTCTTTTTCTTTTTTCTTTTTTTCTTTTTTTCTTTTTTAGCAAACCGTGGAGCAGAGCTGCTGTGGGCTGCAGGGCTTGAATACCGGGGACACTCTGGTGTCCCTGTGGGCAGCTGTGCCTGGGGAGTGGAGGATGTGGGAGCATGAGCCCTCAGTCCTGCATGGAGTCAGTGCTTCCCTCTCTCTGCAGGGACAGAGGGAATACGGGGTCAATGGCAAGTTGAACACGAGTGCCCTGGCAGCCAGGAGGGACAGCCGTGTCCTGGGGTACCGGGGACAGCACAGCCAGGCTGATTGTCCCGCTCTGCTCTGCACTGGGGCAGCTGCACCTCGAGTGCTGGGGGCAGTCTTGGGTGCCACAATATAAAGCCATGAAGCCATTAGAGAGTGTCCAAAGAAAGGCCATGAGGGTGGTGAAGGGTCTGGAGGAGAAGCCATGTGGCCAAGGTTATTTGCTCTGTTCAGCCTGGAGGATGCTGAGAGGAGCCCTCATCGTGCAGCTTCCTCACAAGGAGCAGCATCAATCCCCCCTCTCAGGTGACCAGCAACAGGAGCCAAGGAATGGCCTGAAGCTGTGTCAGTGCAGGTTTAGGTTGGATGTCAGGAAAAGGTTCTTCACCCAGAGGGTGATTGGGCACTGGAACAGGCTCTCCAGGAAAGTGGTCACAGCACCAAGCCTGAGAATTCAAGAAGAGTTTGGACCATGCTCTCAGGCACATGGTGTGACTCCTGAGGATTGTGCTGTGCAGGGCCAGGAATCAGGCTCAGTGGTCCTTGGTGTTCCCTTCCAACTCAGCATGTTCTGTTTGGTTTTATCTGGTTCTGTTCTGTGAATTTAAACACTGCCTTTTCTATGCACACATTTACACAAACCCAGCTCGTGCCACCACAGTTTGCCTGCTCCTTTCCATCTCTAGTGTTCTTCCACATCCCATGGCACTTAAATATTCCCCAGGGATCAAGCTGCCTCTCCAGTGCCACAACTTACAGCACGTTCCCATTGTTTAGAGAACATATGGGTAATTGCTTTTTCTTTTCCCAAAATACTTGGCATAGAAATCATATATGTAATATGTATAACATATGGAAGGCTGCATATTTCAATGCCTCAGTGCACAATGTGTGCATAAATGTTTTATGTGTAAATGCTTTGCTTCAAACACTTGTCAGCTTGTGAGCACGTGCAGCTTGCAACGTGTGTAAGGTCAGTGTTTGACTCTGGGTTTCTACTTTGTTTCATGAAAGGTGTGTGCATTATCAGCATGTTACATATTTCAGGCTTTAAGTCAAGATAAGTAGGCAGGCATGATATTTAAATACGCTATCAATTAGCAATTACACTGCCTTTCATCTGCCCGACATGCAGAACACACTGCATACTTTATGTGTGCCACTTGCTGTCATTTTTGGAGCTGTGACAAATTTCAAATTATTTTAACCAGAATATTCATTCAGAAATACAGTCCTATATTCATCAAAAATACAAGCTGAGATGTGTTCATCAAACCTTTCCTGAAGGTGGATAAAAGGACATGGACAGAGTTTTTCTGCCTTTGAAATGCACAATGCCTTTCTTCCAGAGTATTAAAAAACCAGTTTAAATCCTATCATGGCATGACCAGGATCTGCTGTGTGAATTCATGCATGATCTGGGTTTTGCTCATTTAAAGGCAGAGTTTTAATAAGGAAATAATTTTAAAGAGACATTTTAAACTATCACTGAATTTGTGACATTGCTTGTTTCTTATCAGCCCAAGTAGATTTAGTGTTGTATTACTGCCTGGTGATGCTGTGGTTGTGGGTTCCATACCTGTACGGGCCATTCACTTCAGAGCAGGGTTTAGTGATCCTTGTGGGTCCCTTCCAACTCAGAATATTCTGTGATTCTGTGAAAACACTGCAAATGGCTGCTGTTCAGAGCAGGACTGTTTGGGTGGAAGGCAACTCTTGTGTGATGGGCAGTGAGGGTGACACCAGCCTGTCCTGGGAGGCCATATGTGCATCTGCTGGCTTTGCACAGCGGTTCTGGTAGGTGCCAGCTCTGCTGGAATTTGCTTTTTCATGGGTTCCTTTAATTCCAGCCTCCAAGCCATGAGCCTGACTGTGGCCAGCTTGCAGGGCTGTGAAGGAGATGAGTTTGGCCAGCCAGGAGCAGCCAGGAGTGACCTTATTCTAAGGTACCAGACAACCATCTGGGCTGGATGTGCCTGTCAGCCAGGATAAACTGCATATCAAGACACCAGGACTTGCCCCTTCATATTTTTAATGCTGAAAAAGTGCAGTGTCCATGTTAACAACCCCCAAATATGGAAGAAGACTTTGAAAAACAAACTTTTAGAAAGGGCATAAATAAATGGGCCAGCAAGTATATATCATCATGACCACAGTGTTTCCTTTCTGCACATCTCCTGTTGCTCCCCAGTTCAGCCAGGAGAGCCCTTTCTTTTCTCCCCAGGGGTCAAGCAGTGTAATCAGTGTTTGTAGGGGACATAAATGCAGTCCTCAGCATGAGTAAATTCAAACCAAATACACTTCCTTGGCATTTTTATCCATGAAATCTTGAAAAAAGCCAAGATAAGCCCATAATGACTAATTGGATGTGACGAAAGGAGATGGCACAACAATGTAGGTGAGGGAGGAGATGGAGAAATCAGTCCTGAGGAAAGATCTGGCACCCACAAGGCATGAGAGAGCCAGAGCTCATCAGTTCAAATATAATCTTCCAGAAAGGGAGGGGGCAAAAACACCCAACTCACCAGTGTCTCTCATTCTTGCACAGAAAATGCCAGGCTCCTGCACCTGATTTCCATGAGAAAGGCCACTTCTGGCATTGACATTCTGCTGCTCCGAGTCCCTGCCACAGAGCTCCTCCTTAATGTAAGGCTGAAAGAGGAGGGGAGGAATGAACTCTGCTTTCCAAAAGGGCTGGAGCTGCCAAAGAGGCCCATGGAAAGCCAATTGTGCAATGAGGGAAAACAGGGAGGGAGGATCCCTGCTCACAGACACAGTGAAACGCCTGTCGAAAATAAGTGGGAGAAGGGCTAAGAGGCATTTTGGTGCATTTGTACAGATGTCGAGTGAGGGCTGGTTCAAAGCGAAGCTGTTGACGAGGACAGGGATGTGGGGTTGATTTTGAATGCTGAGGCTGTTGCACTCAGGCCTTCCCTTCATATGCATAGCATCCATAAGTGCTGCTGATTTCAAATCCTGGCTCTCATGGAGGTTTTTAAGCACTTCTCATTCATAGATCCTGGAGCGCTTTACAAAGACAGAGCTATAAATAAGATGGATGGGAAAGTGGGGAATGGAGAGGGGCTTTTAAAGGGCAATGGATTGTTTCTTCAAGGGTTTCTGTGGATAAGAACTAGATAAGAACTGTCATTTTACTGAATATAAAATATTTTGCAATGGCCCACCGTGTCAAATTATTTGTGCACAGATATTTATGTTATTAAGGAGAAGTTTTGTCATCATGTGTCCAAATTGTCTCTAGCTAAGCTTTTGGAAAGTACAAAAAGAATAGCACTTAATGTTAGACTTTAACACAGTGCATGGATGTTTTAGGCACTTTTAAACTGAACAGATGAAAACCCTTTTATTCCTAAACACTAGAAATCCAGTGATATTTATGTAACTATGCAATTTGACCTGTCTGTTTTACATGTTTCCAAATGTTTATTATAGGCAGCTTTCAAATTAAGTGGGATGGAACAGTTGATGCTCTTTTCCCTGCTTCTCAAAGGCTGTCCAGAGCCCCTACCATGTGAGTGACACTGCTGTTAAAGGGGTAGCATTTTGGTTTTATCACAAGGTATGCAGCGAGGGAAAGGAGAGCACCCTGGTCCTGATTCCAGCTCTATGCTCCAAGCAGCCATTTAATTTCTACCTTCTTATCTTCCCCCTCCATGGAGCCAGGTACAATAGTTCCTTATTCTCCAAAGTGGCACAAAGCTTAATTAACCTTGAGAAAAGTCAGGGGTAAATTGCCAACAACAACAGGGAGAGAGTGGGGACAGCCCCAGCACTGTAAGCATCTCTGTGTTCATACTCACCTGTGTGGGACCATTTTACCACTGATGCTCCACTGCACCACAAACTTGGCAATTTTGGGAAAGCCTTAAACACTTTCAGTGCATTTGAAATAACATTATGTAACCAGGAGGCAGGCACGGACTGATGGCTCAGCAATGTTTTATGCAGCAATCCTTTCACCCAAGGGTGACCTTGTAACTGAATCATCAAAGCCATATTCTACTCACAGTTGCACCTGTACTGCCACTATTTACATTGCAATGGCACGTGAAGGCCCCATTGTATAAGGCACAGCAAACCTGTTGCCATTTGGTAGAGACTGGAAGTGGGAGGGGAAGCAGAAACAGAGCAAAGTATTTGTCTCGAGGTATTATATCAGAAAAATAGCTCCTGCAGGAGAAAAGAGCAGGTCTCCCAACTGCTACACCCCATGAACAAGAGCTTTTAGGAATAAAAGGACATATTTGCTTCTGGGAATATAAATTTAAAATACTGGAAGATCACAATGTCTGCAGCAGGATTTGTTATTTGTTTA